ATTGCAGTCTTTACCATTAGGTCCTTTCAGGGTGGGATGGACCTTGAGTCTTTTAGTTTGTTGTTTATAAAATTGTAGAAAGAGCAGGTGGAATTGGTGCATAGTAGGTTTTCCTCTTGTTTAATGTGATAATTGGTGCATTCAGTCTTTATCTGGTGGCATAAATTTTTGTATCAGCTTTTGAAGTTGGCAACGTGACCAGATTTGTTTTTTCTGCCAAAGTGATCTCTTTTTGGATTGAAGCTTCCTTATTGTTATGGGTAATCTGTTTTTTTTCCTGGTTTTTGGAGTTGTTATTGGTACATATAGTTTGATGACTCTTTTGACTTCAAGTAAAAATATGTTGTAATGGTCTTCAAAGTATTGCATCCAGTGAATAGAAATTGCCAATCAAGGCATGAGAGATCGTTGTCTATAAGACCATAGTTGCCTTTTTGAAGTTATAATTGGAGATTACATCATTGTGATGATTTTTGTGTGGGCGTATGTTGAGACAAAAGTCAATCATGCTGTGGTCACTGTTGGAAAATTTAATTTGTTCTTTAATTTGTATTCCGTAAATTGAATTCAAACTATTGCAGAAGATGAGATCGAGGCAGTTGTTAAGTCTAGTATTGTTGGTTACTAATTGTTCCAGTCCCAGGTTTGTTACAGCATTGTAGAAGGTTGCATGTATGGGTTCAGTTTTACATTCGTTTAGGGTCCAGTTAATGTGAGGTAGATTGAAGTAATCAAGAAAGATAAAAGTGTGTGGGCAGGATGTTGCCCATATTAGTAGTGAATTTAGCTTGTTTACATGTTTGATGTCATAATCAGGGGCTCTGTAACATAGTAAGAATCGAAATTGATATTTAAGGACAGTTCATAGACGATGGTCTCAGGAAGAGCAAGCTCTCGGGTATCAGTTATTGACCCTTATTTATCAGAAGGCAAACAAGATCCTAGAAACTTTTCTTGTCCTTCAAGATACTGCACCAACCCAACTTACAGTTTTTTAGCTTCTGATTAAGTGGGACAAATGTTTCTACTGTGAATTTAAACCAGTGAGCCTTACATATGAGAGATGAGTCAAATTTTATTCTGTCTGCTTTTTATAAGCACTTAAGTTTGTGGAAGGCAAACAGTCTTTCAAGAAAGGAATCTTTTAAAAGTTCTTGTGTGTATCTGCATATGTGTACTTTGATGTCCTAACTTTTTTCGTATAAATTTAATGTAATATTCTCTTACACACATAAATATTACCCAGATATAAAATGTATATATTCTTGCTCACAGGAAGGAAAGTGCAAAACAATTATTTTCATGAGAAAGAAAACTGGTGAGGGTTAGCCGCTGTCTATGGGGAAATGGGCAGTCCAGATTGAATAACTTGCAAGCTGTTACCAAAATGGGTCAGTCTGCATATAAGTGCATGTCAGAGTGAACACTTACTCAAGCAAATCTATATAGAAACCTTTGTATTTGTAAGTACACCCTGAAACTCTGGATGAACAAGAAGTAAGCATGCATTCAGAGTGGTCAGTTACTTCTTTTTATTAATTCTATTAGAAGTATTGGCAGAAAATGTCTAAAAAGAAAACAAATAGGTGGGAGATTGTAATTTCAGACTTGCGAGATTCTGTTAATATAGACTTATAAAATAGAATCAATACTTCTTGTCATGTTTACTGCCTGGTCTACTTAGAAGGGTAACAATTTTGGATACAAAATCAATGTTCCAAAACTAGACATTAATATGAATAGACATTGAGGTTGTGAGAGATGGAGGAACATGTTATTTTGGTTAGGACCAATTGCAATCATAAAAATGAATGTATTATCTAAAATAAACAATTTATTCAAATAGCTCTAATCAGAATTTATGAGAATATAAGAAACTATTACTAAAATATATATGGTCAAACAAAAAATTCTATGCAGACTCCAAAGAGAGAAGTGGTTTTACCTTTCCAAATTTTTAATTGTAACATGAATGAAGTTGCCTGCCATTGATAATACAGTGGATAATATTTCAGAATTGTAAAATTGCAATTTTGGAAAGAATAGGCTTAGACAATAGATTTCATAGATACTTTATGATATAAAAAGGAAGATAAATTCTTACACTGTTGGAAGTGTAAGAAGGAAAAAGCTACCTATTTTCATATGTGGTAGACCTATCCAGAAGTCAAGAAATATTGGAAAATAATTCGATTGTGTTTAGAAGAAATAATAAAACAGAAAATTGAATCCAAACCAGAACTATTTCTGTTAGGTATAATAATGGAAAAATATAATTAAAAAGATAAATGCATTATGCTACATATTTTAACAGCTGCTAGGATTTCCTATGCACAATTCTGGAAGCAAGAAATTGTACCACCAGAAGGTGTTGCTATAAAAAAAAAATTTAGATTGTGCAGAGATGGACAGACTAACAATGAAATTAAGGGACAAAGAAGAGTCAATATATTATAATGTCTGGGATGCCTGGTATGAATGGTTTAAGAATAAAAAGAAATCAAAATGGCAATTAGATAAAGAATAAGAAACTATGTAAATACTTATATCTATATTCATATCTATCTATATTTATTTATATATTAAATTGAAATTGTATAATGAAAGAAAGTGTGTATAGAAAGATGATAAGGAAATGTAAAAGATGTCTTGATGTTGATATAATGATGTATAAAGTTTTATTTTATGTTTTTAAATTTTGAAAACTAAATAAAATTTACTAAATTTAAAAAAAAAGGAATTTGAAAAAAGGGAGGATAAAATCTAAAAGGACATATTATTAGACAAAGTTTGATAAAAACATGGGATTCTATGAAGGAATTAATAAATTGAATAATTTTACCTTTAGATTTTCCCTCAAATGCTTTTCATTATAGACAATTACAGAAAGGAAAATGTAATTACATATACAGGTATGGCTCATTCAGGCTCTATGAACAGATTGAAAACACAGCATGAAGCCAGACTACATCAGCACAGCTGAACTTACAAATCACTGAAAGAAAAACCAGACCTTAAAAAGGAAAGAATAATGTTGAGGAAAAATGCACTGGCATCATCTGTAATGGTTCGTATATAAAGTTTTATTTAGATATGATACAAAGGCAAAACAAATTCAGATTTTTTAAGACACAGTCATAACACAATGGGAAGAATTATGAACTAAATGTAGGATTTACATAGAGGAAAACTTACAATGTATTCTTCCAATACTGAATAATTCCTCCAATAATCTCCAGGATATATAAATCATCAGTAATAAAAGTTGGAAAAGCCACAAGGAATGTTCTATCACATATGGTGGTCATGGAATCCCTTACTAAAATATTGGACAATATATATAGTACAATACAGACATTTCTGTAATTAAAATTTGAAATGAAAGCACAAGTCCTTTTGTTAAGCATAATCTCAGAAAAAAATTAACTACTGGTAGAAACATCATTATTTAATGAGATATATGCTTATAGCAGCCAGAGTAAATTTAGCTCAACACTGGAAAAAAGACACAATTCCAGCAGGGATTTAAAATGGAAATACTAATGGTATATATACATAGTGGAAATTAGATCAAAATTAAGAAAGAAAGCTTCCCATACATGTATAATGAAACACAGAAAGTATAATCACTTGCAGTCCAGCACTTACGAGGATTAATTGCAGGTATTAAAAAAGAGGGAGGAAATTAGAAACTCAATAGTTTCTTTTCTTTCCTTCTGTTTTCCCTTTCTTTTTAATCATTTTGGTACTTTAACTCTCAATAAATTGATTTTGTTTTTTATTCTTTTTTCTATTAACAGACACACATACACACACGTACACACACACGAACACACACACACACACACACACACACAAACACACACACACACACACACAAACACTCATATTAATACTAACCAATTATGCAACACTAGGTAATCAGTTTGTTAAGTTTGGAGAATAAGGGAGACCAGACATCTGACCAGTGACTTCAAACTCTTTAATAACAGTAAATAGAACAGAACAGAGCAAGGCTATGGGCAGCAGTAACCCTTTTATAGGGTTGGCTGCTACCCTATTAACCAATAATATGTGCAACAAGTTCAACTAATACCCAATAAGAAGTGTCCTAATATTGGCCAATCGGGGACTTGTTATGGACCAATCCTTGTTCGTTGTTTAAGGACCAATCAGGTGTGCAGGCTTTCAAAACCCACTTTGCATTTGGGCTTAGTTACTTTTTATTGATTCACAACACCCCTCCCCCTTGGGCTCCGTTTGAGGGGAGCTGTAACAAAATCCTCAAGATAGACAGGCCGTTTGGTCTGTCTGGATGATTTCCGTGGTTCCACCGGGTTTGGCCTAAAGTCCGGTTCCGGTGGAGCGTTTGGATGATCTCTGTTAAGCTCCATTTCGCTGCACGGAAATTCCGTGCTGCTTTCGTTGTGGTTGTCCCCACCAATCAGTGTTTCTTCGGGGTTTCGCAGTTCGGTTTCCCCCGTGTTCACGTCCCATGGGAAAGTCAACTCCCTCCCTGCTTCGTTTCCCGGTACTTCGCTGGGCCGTAGGGTTTCCGTTGGCCTGCTATCTGTCATATCGAAGTCAATTTCCTCGATATTTCCTCCCCCTTCAGTTGGTGAACCCGGGGAGCCATGGGCGCTGGGTGGTAATCTCGAACGGAGTTGGTCTATGTGGCGTTTCCACACCCTCCCATCGTCTGTTAGCAGGCGGTAAGATCTAGGCCCTGTGAGGTGGGTGACGGTTGCGGGTATCCATAAACGGTCGCCGGAGAAGTTTTTGGCAAAGGTTAAATCGCCTACCTTAAATTCCCGGCATTTGCTGCTGGAGCCGAAAGGCTTTTCGGGTGCGTATGCGGGGTGGAGCCGGTCAAGGTGCGATCGTAGTTTCCGCCCCATGAGAAGTTCGGCGGGCGTTTTGTTGGTAACGCTATGGGGCGTGATGTGCTGCAACAATAAAATTCGATTGATTTTTTCATCGATGTCGCCGAATTCCATTTTGTGGAGGGTCTTTTTTACAAACTGTACCATGCGCTCTGCACGTCCGTTCGCCGCAGGGTGCGCGGGCGAGGTTAGCGCATGGCGGATGCCCCGGTCAGCAAGATATTGTTCAAATGGTAATGCTGTGAACTGTGGGCCGTTATCTGAAACCAGAACGTCCGGAAAACCATGTGTGGCAAATAGTCTGTTTAATTTGTTGATAACTGAGTCTGTTGTAGTTGTGTTCATTCGATGGATCTCGAGCCAATTTGAATAGGCGTCAACTGTAATAAGGAAAGTGTGCCCTTTTGTAGGCCCCGCAAAGTCAATATGAATACGGGACCATGGTCCCCTCGGAGTTTCCCATTCGGTTGGGCTTGCTTTAGGTGGGGCGTTGCTGACGTCCTGGCAACGTTGACAAGTAGCGACCCAGGCCTCGATTCTTTTGTCGATTCCCGGCCACCAGGCGTAGCTCCGTGCGAGTGCTTTCATCCGCACGATGCCCGGATGTCCGTCGTGCAATACCGCTAAAACAGTTCGTTGCAGTTTGCCCGGGATTACGACTCTATCGCCCCACAAGATGCAGCCCTTTTGGGAAAACAGTTCGGTTTGGCGGGCTTTGAAAGGCGCCCATTCAGGTGATAGTTGTTCTGTTGGCCAACCACGTTCAACCCAGCGTAGGATGTGTTGCAGGACCGGATCTCGTTTTGTTTCGAGAGCAATGTCTCTCGCCGTCAATGGCGGTGCATGTAGAGTCTCAATTTGCAGCGTTGTGATGGTTGGGGCTGGATCTTCAACCGATTCTGGGACTGGTGTTCTGCTCAATGCATCAACGTGGAGAATTGATTTCCCCGGGCGGTGTTGCAAGGTGTAGTTGTACGCCGCCAAGAATTCAGACCAGCGGGTCATTCTAGTCCGTTCGCGAAAACGTCTTGGAATTCTTGCACGAGGGCTTCCTCCGAATCGTTGCTCTCAGCACAGTGGACTCCGGCTACAGTGATTCCGAGCGGTCTGAACCATTGCAGGCCTAAAAGACTAGCCCGGTCACGGTCAATGACAGTCAGTGGCAGTGCAACGGTGCGGTCCTTGAAAGAGACCTGGAATCGGCGGGACCCGACAACGGGAATTCGATTACCCTGGTAATCTTTGAGTATAACCCTTTGAGGGTTGAGGTCTTGGCGGCGAATCGTCGGAATGAGCTGTTGGAGCATCTTCCAGGACACCATCGAGAGGGATGATCCTGAGTCCACCTCCATTACACAAGGTTTGTTTTCGATAGCGACCTTCACTCTGATTTTCCCGGCATCTAGGGATGTAGCGTGGCCTATGGTAATTGTCTGGTGGGTCTCTTCCCGCCTGGTTTCTTCCCGCCTGGTGGAAGTGGTGGATGGTTTGTTTCTATAGGAGTGGCTTCCCCATTGGTGATTCAGTTTGTCTCGGGGTGTGCCGATGAATCCTGAAGACTGGCATTCGGCCTGTCGGGGTTTGGAGTTGGAGTTTTGTTTGCTTCTGCAAACCTTTGCGATGTGACCTCTTTTTCCGCAAACGCGGCAGAGTGCGTCGAGGAATTTGCAGCTGGATCGTGGGTGATTCGCTCCACATCCTGCACAAGGTCGAAGTGAGCGTTGTGTGAACTGGTCTCGTTCAGTTCGGAGTCGGTTGACCTCTTCCTCATCACTTTCTGACGGGGATTCTAGGTCTTCGTGGTGAGTCGATACCGGTTGTCTCTCTGAGCGAGGTGAGGTATCATTGGCAAGTTGACGTAGCGGTGCGCTGGTGCGGCGCATTCGGGCTGCCGACTTCTTGGTTGCTTCTGCTGCAGTGGCTTCTTTAAGGGCATCGGTGAGGCTGATGTCCCCCTTAGCCATGATTTTGCTCTGGATCATGCAGTCTTCTAGGCCCAGAACTAGGCGGTCTCGGAGGGCTTCTTCTAAGTTAGAGAATCCGCAGAGGCCTCCAAGGTTTCGGAGGTCTGCGACGTAGTTGGCAAGGCTTTCGCCTTTCCGCTGGACCCTCTGGTAAAATTCGTGCCTTCTGACTAAGGTTGGCACGGTGGGCGCGTAGTGGGCCCGTAGCAAAGGCTCGAGGACGTCCTAGTCCATCGCTTTTACTTCGGCTGGCTTGGCAAGTGATTTTGCCATTTTAAACACGGTGGGCCCGCAGTGGGTTAGAAATACAGCTCTTTTTTTGCTGGCTGTTGCATCTTTCAAGTTGTTGGTCTCCAGAAACATCTGGAACCTATCCATGTACGACTCCCAGTCTTCGGTTTCTGGGTCGAATGGAGCGGGTGGTACGGCACCGCTGGCCATGTTGCCGTTGATAGTGCGTGTTCGACCACGTGCTCTGTTGGTTGCTCTGTAGATCAGTCAGCTCTTCGGTCTCCGCATCCCACCCTCGTCGCCAGTGTTAAGTTTGGAGAATAAGGGAGACCAGACATCTGACCAGTGACTTCAAACTCTTTAATAACAGTAAATAGAACAGAACAGAGCAAGGCTATGGGCAGCAGTAACCCTTTTATAGGGTTGGCTGCTACCCTATTAACCAATAATATGTGCAACAAGTTCAACTAATACCCAATAAGAGGTGTCCTAATATTGGCCAATCAGGGACTTGTTATGGACCAATCCTTGTTCGTTGTTTAAGGACCAATCAGGTGTGCAGGCTTTCAAAACCCGCTTTGCATTTGGGCTTAGTTACTTTTTATTGATTCACAACACAGTTCGGTACTAAACTCACTATTATACAAATCAGTTGTTTTTTCTTCTTTTTCTTCTTAAGTTGTTTATATTCAATCTTGTATGAAAAAATCATATAATTTTATAATAGTAATATATTCTAAACTGTAATTAATTTGAAATATTTTCTTCATTTTCAAAACCCTGAATATCCAAGCAATAGAATCTTTAGAACTTTAACTAATGCTGTATAAATAGAACTTTAACTAATGCTGTATAAAAGTAACTATATTGAAACAATAGAATAAAATAGTATTAAAATGTATAATGTAAGGGAAGAGATAAAATAGCATGAACATGTCTCACTGCTGAATTTCTTTGAAATGTTCTAAGTTAAGTAGAAAATGAGAAAAAGCACTACAGAAATGTGTAAGACAGGAATGACTGTGCAGCTGTTGAAAGTAATAAGACTGAAATGGAGTATGTACATAAGCCATTTACAAAAATAGCCCGGCCCTTGGGATAACAAATTTTTTGCAACATTGTGTTCTTGAATAGAGCCCATCTGGTGTTTTTGTCACGTTCCATAATTAAAAATCATGTATAATTCAAAGAGTTTTACACTGTTTAACAGTAATTAGTTTTCAGTATCAGCGAAATAATATTGTTATCCCCAACTCTATTTAGTTATATGAAAAGAATATTAACATCTTTCTGAGTAATAAATGAAGTAATAAGTAAATTCATTAGGGGGGATGGTTCCATTATTGTGTAAATCTTCTACAGGAAGTTTCTGGAAAAAGTTATCTATTAAAAGCAGAGAAACTCCCACAGTGGAAAAGAAGCTAGCATACAGTGTATTAAATCACTCACAATCTTTATTATACCATTAATGATATAACCTTTTTACAACAACAACAACAACAACAACAACACGCAACATAACTACATGCATCTGTTTGAAAATGATATTCTTTTAGCCAAATCCCGAGTTGAACTGTGCCAAATCTTGAGTTGAACACATTCCAGCCTATCCTCTTATTTACAGCACTCTTTTTTAAAGTAAATTGAGAAACTATGTCCCACGTTTTGGAAGGTAAATTGAATTACACCCAGCATTTCAAACTTTGCAAAAGAGTTATGGATTTTGGCTTGAGAGGGAAAAAAAGAGGATTACAATATAATTGTGAGGGAAAGGATAAAGCAACCCTCCCCTTAAAAACAGAATTCAAATTTTGAAACTTATGGACATTTTTTTCCTTTCCAACAGAAAGTTGAAATGATTTTCTATAAAGTGACTCAGCATCCTGCTTGTGTGTGTCACATAATAATATAACAATTGAACAGAATGGGGACCAAATTTAATATGGGAAAGAAACTGACAGAAAAAAATATATGAAATGGACTGGATCAGGCCAAGGGCTACAGAAAAAAAGAATTCCATAAAAATGTGGACAGGGAATTTGTTACTGACCTGAATGATGAAGACCAGTTCTAAATCCTTCTCCCATTCATTATGTGACCCAATGTATAGCAGATGTAGGCACTTGTATTATGTAGTACAGAGTTTCCCAACCTTTTTGGCTTTGTGGACTGGCAAGGTGGGAGAAAGGGGATGGTTTGGTGCACATGGTGGGCAAGCATGTACAGCTCCATTTGCATGAGTGGCAGGCTCATATACCTATTGCTTGAGCAAATGGAGCATGTGTGCATGTGTGCGCTGGTGCGAGTGAGGATGAGCGCACATGCACACTCACTTGCCACTTATGTGGCTTGATTATGGGAACCCCCAATGTAGTATCCACATTAACAGTTGGAAACAATTCCAGAATCCATGCTCTGCTGCCTTTTTCTACATTGCTTTTTAATTTTTTTAATTAGCTTCATAGACAAATGTAATTCCAGTTTGCCCAGAATATTTGCTGCAGCTATGGATAGAGTTATGTCAGATACTCTCATAGATGGAAAATTGCTGTTAATTTTTTTAGTTTCTAAAGGGGAAAGGTTTTAACTCATTTCAAATCAACTAAAACTTGAGATTGTTCCTATTCTAAAATGCCTTTTAGAACAGCAGTCGCCAACCAGTGGTCCACGGCCCACTGGTAGTCTGCGAGAAAATTTTGGTGGTCCGCAGAGAAATGTCACCCCCAGAGCAGCTCCCCAAAGCAATTAATCCAGGCTGCATGGTTGCACGGGAATGCAAGGCTGCATCACATGGCCCATGGGAATGCTCCCCGCCCACTTACTCCTTACCTGGCAAACTTGCCTGCTAAGTTGCTATTTTTCCCTTTTCTGACCATCAGCTGTTCTGCTGTGCCAAGAGATTTAGATTAGCTAGAAAGCAGGAAATCGTTGGATTTCTTGCTTTCTAGCTAATTTTTAGATCTTCGGCTCTGCTTTTAAGCTTGCTTAAGACTGAAGCAGTGCAGACGCAGATAGCCGATGGCAGAAACACAAATTTCTAAGTGAATCTGTGATTCTGTGAGCAACTCAATCTGCCTGCCTGCCTTGCCTGATTTTGGGTAAAAGTTGCTCTTTTTTATTAAAAAAATCAATATTTATATAAACATTTATAATATTTACATACAAGCCATGGCCAGCCAGTCACATGACCACCAAGCCACACCCACAACCAGTTGTTAAGAAATTTGAATCCCACCCCTGCCTCTGTATGTGTGTGTGTGTGTGTGAGAGAGAGAGAGGGGGGGGGAGGGAGGGAGACGGAGAGAGAGAGAGGTAGATCAGAACGTAGTCACCAAACCGGTAGTAACACCAGTTGAATCCCACCCCTACATGCGATGCTGAATAAATTATACCCTTTCTTCAGGAATACTGTAGATTCAGTTTTAGAAGAGAAGGTTGGCAATACTTCAGTTTCAGAACTCTTGATGGTAAATCATAATATAGTTA